GCTGTTGTATTAAAGTTTTTCTTCATTACCCATTCAAGCCGTCTCCAGCCATTATTAGTCTCAAAGTGGGTTCCTCGTCATCGAATCCTTAATATCTCATACATAGCCTCCCAAACTGTTGATTGTTTATACCTAGGTCTTGACAACTTTGACAGGTGCTATATTTCACATAAGAATTTCCCTTTAGAAGAGAACCTGCTATTTGTATAATATCTGCCACAACAAATGTTATACTTGCCTTCATGCAGCAACTGATACTGTTTATTTTTTATCAACTTACAGTATGCTTCATTTTGTTCTTTGTCTATCACTTTCACCTTGATAGAATCTTAATACTGTACCATTGTTATTACCATTGCTGAAATAACGTTTGCAAGAGCAATTCTAATATTCAGAAATAGCATGTTAGAGACCATTTTTAAAAACACAATGAATTTTGTATGTTTGAACTGGAGTATATATATATATAGTCCATGGTATGCTAAGTACACAGTCATTGCCCATAATAATAATGCTGTGCACTGAATTCACTTTTCCTACCATCATGTTTGCTCATTGGCCAAATATTATTGGTTTCTGATGATACTTTTACTTGTTATGAACATTAGCATAAGCCAAACAACGTTATAACCCTATATACATATATGGGCCAGACATGTCTAGTGGTTAGCATGTTGTACTGCAGACCAGAGGGTCTAAGATTTAAGTCCATGATATCTCAATAAACATGCAACACATTCAGCTATGATCAGCACATTATTAAAGTGACAGTCAAACTTTATATTTGATTAAGAGTAGAAACTTCTTAGTGGTTGTTCTCATTTTGACCAGCAGTTCTAATTTATCAATAGCTATGTCTGAATCTTAAGAGCATTTAGTTATTAGCCTATATGTTACATAAGGTGCCATGCACATTGAAAAATACCAAATACCATGTACATATAGTTATCCACTATCTTACTGTAGTGTAGGCCCTGTAGATCAATAACAATTGTTAGATATATATGACTGTTTCATTTTAAGTTTAATGCAAGTGTTGTGATTTAGATAGTTTTATAACACAATTGTTAAACTTAGTTATTTTTGGAAGAGATAGTTTATCATAGGTTTGTGTATGTAACTGTTTGCAAATCATACACTTTGTATTTCAATACTTATGAATTGGTGATTATTATCTTATTGCATCATGTTACTAGAACCTTCTGAGTCTTTCTCGTTTTAATTGAGTATTATTGTATCATAATAGAAATGAATAAAAAAACCTATAACCCGAGCACTTTTGAAAGTGGGCCTTTCGAAAGTGCTCGGGTTATAGGGTTTTTATTCATTTCTATCATGACTTCTTGAATTTACGTGTTATTCTAACACCATGATTGTATCATAATAGAAATGAATAA